ACTCATAGTGACCCCCAATGGGTTCCTGAGGCTGTAAATCTTTACATAAGTAGATTGCCCCATTTTCCTTCCATGGAGCATCTGGTGGGTTTGAACCACAGACCTGCTGGTTAGCAGCCAAATGCCTTATCTACTCTGCCACCAGAGCTCCTTTATGTGTGTGTGTATGTATATATAAATATATATGTGTGTATATATTTATATATATGTAAATGTAGGCGCTCTGGTGGCATAGTGCCTAAGGCATTTGACTGCTAACCAGAAGGCTGGTGGTTCAAACTCACCAGCCACTCCTTGACAGGAAGGTTGGGCAATCTATTTCCATGGTGATACTGCCTCAGAAACCCAAGAAGGAGTCGCTATGAGTTAGAATCGACTTGACAGAAGTGAGTATATGTATATGTATATGTAATTCTTTTTTTGTTTGTTTGTTTTGTTTTGGTCATGCAGAACCATGCAATTTGAATTTCTCAATCTTTCAATATTTTCTTTTATGGCTTTTGGATTTTGGGTAATAGTTAAAAAGGCCCTTGCCATTCTAAGGTTATGAAGATATCCTAGTTTGGGTTGGGACTCTTTTAACCACAAAAAATACTATTGATTTTAGGCAGTGCTTTCCTTCCAGAGTACCAGTTCCTATAAGTACAACATCCTCTTGAGAAAATGCCAAGGAGACAATTAGCTAATGAGATAAATGATGAGGTGGTTGTATAATTAGGAATCTCATAGGTGTGCAGCCAGGAAACATTTTCTTTTGAGTCTTTAGTCCTTACCTTGGGAGCATGACACCTTACTTGGGAAAATTCATATAGCAACCATGGTCCCTTTTTCTAGACAAGCAAATAGAAAATCTATGTAACATCCATGGCTGTTTTTTTCTAGACAAGTGACTCAGACACAACCAGCCCTACTGGACTTCAGCTGAGTGGTGTGCATCTGGAGGACAGCAGCAAACTCTCGGGGGAAAAGCCAGGAGTCTGGGATCTGCAATCACGGAAAAGGACTCAGACTCTCCCTAACCGGAAATGTTTCTTGACTTCAGCTTTGCATGGTGCCAACAGCAGCAAAGTGGAGGTCTTTAAAAATGAGTTCTGGTCATCTTCAGAGACCAAGGTAGGGGAAGGGCACAAGAGAGCAATGTCTCAAGATTTGCGCCACCTATCTGACTCCCAGAGGACTTCCACTTATGATAATGTCCCTGCCCTCCCAGTGTCCCCTGGGGACGAAGCAAGTGCACCCTTTTCTCACACCTATAACTCCAAGAAAGACACTCCTGTCAGCCCTAATTCTGATGCTGGGCCTGCAAGAAAGGACTCTGGAGAAGAGGAGTTTGGATCTTCCCAGAGAGTCGTCCAGGAGCTACGAAAGGAAATAGAAACACAGAAGCAAATATATGAGGAACAGATTAAAAAGTAAGTCACATACAGAAGGGCAAAGAGGAGAACTGAGCAACCATGGGCTTCCATTGTTAGAAACAATAGAAATGTTCTTATCTGCCAAAGAGGTGACATCATAAATCTTTCATTTAAAGAATATGGTGAACTACAGCAATTGAGCTTAAAAAGATAAAGGGTGTGATGCAATGACTAAATTAGTGAAAACTCTATACTTTAATTAAATCAGGAATTTCTGAATTTGTCATATTAATCTCATTCAGCAATTTCACAAATATTTATTGAGCATCTGCTGTGTGTCAGGAACCATGTGTCAGAGAATATTGCCAAACAAAATAGACAAAAGTTCCTGTCCTGATGGAATTTTCATCCTAGAGGGGACAGACAAACAATAAAAATAAGTAGTTAAAATAATGCTATGCCAAACATTGAAAAATGCTGTGGAGAAAAAGAAAGTACTGCAGGAGGTTAGACCATTCAAGAAAGGAGTTCTAATGTTAAAGAGGGTGGGAAGGCCTCACTGTAGGTGGCATTTCTTTGAAGGCCTGGAAGAGATGAGGGAACAAGTCAGGTTCTTGTGTGGGGCCATAGGAGTAGTGTAATGGAGCAGGTCTAGTATTCATGGACAGAAAGACTGGTGTCAGGGCTGTAGCAGGGGCAGTAAGTAGTAGAAGATGGGATTAGGGAGGCACAGGAGGCCAGAGCACAATACATACGACTTTGTCATCACCTGCAAAGCCAGAGTCAGATGGAAGCCATTGGAGGCTTTGATCTGACTTTTGCTTCAGAGCATCACTAACTTCTGATTGAGCACAGGCTGCAAGGTGAAAAACAGAAGTGGGAGACTAGTTAGAATGTTGTTGCCATAATTTCTTAAAAATTCCTGAGATGCTTGGACACAGTTGGTTCTCTTGGGTAGGTGAAGTATTTCCTTGAAATCTTTTTCTTACTATTGATAGGCCAGCAAACTCTCTTCCATAAGAGAAAATAATCCAGCTTTACCAATATTAGCACAAATCATAAAGTAGTGAAATATGAATTAGTGGGGTTTTTATATGAAGAATGGAGTCTTGGGTTCATGAAAATGGTTAACATGCTCAGCTGCTATTTGAAAGGTTGGAGATTGAGTCAAACCAGAGGCACCTTAGAAGAAAGACCAGGTGATCTACTTCCAAAACACCAGCTATTGAACTCTTATGGCATACAGATCTACTCTCACCCACATGGGGTTGCCATGAGTGGGAGTCAGATTGACGTGAACTTGACAGCTTTTTGTTGTTGTGGCTGTTTCATATTTAGGATACTTTTCAGTTCATTAAGGCTCAGGTCAGTGAAAGGAAAATTTCTTGGAGCCCCCATCCCTTTTTTCCTCTACACAGGATTGCCCCTGTAAAATGTAGCTCCTTTGTTTAACAACAAAAAAAAATTCACTGCCATCGAGTTGTTTTTTGACACCTAGTAACCCCCATTGGGTTTCTGAGGCTGTAAATCTTTACGGAAGTAGATTGCCGTGTCTTCCTCTCTGTGGAGTGGCTGATGGGTTTGAACTGCTGACCTTCTGGTTAGCAATCAAGTGCCTTATCAACTACTCCACCGGAGCTCCTTACTTCTTTGTCTAAGAACCTGAAATTAATAATTTGTATAGTGACAAAGCTTCTATTACATCTTGGCAGTGAGCATAGCAGCCCAGAGAAGCTCTCACTGCATTTTATGCCCAAGTGTCAATGACAGTAGAAAATAGGTGGTGGCCACAGCAAGGGCCATTCATCTGAATCTAGCAAAAACCTGGGTTCACCTGTCAGAGGAGCCTCCTGTCCACAGCAGACAGAAATGAGTTAATAGTCCAACAGTGCCTACTATAGGAATGGGGCCTTGGGAAGTGTCAACAAATTCCTGAAAAGTCATACATCTAACATTGGTGTATGAAGGGCTGGGATTTGGACCTAGATCAGCCAGTCTCCCAAGCCCACTCATCCTTCCTTTCCATTGGAATCAATGGTGCAGATCTATCACTGTGTCTCATTGGTATTTTCCCCAGCATGAGAGGGATGTGGATACCTTGGAGAAAAATGCTAGATTTATAATTGAAGGGCTGGAAGGAATGAGACTAATTGAAATTTAAGATGAGATAGGCAGGGGTAGACAAGGCTCTGAACAGGGATCAGTACACACAGAATGGGCTAAGGCCTTTGAAGACAGAATCTGACGATTTTGGCCAGTTAACAATAAAAATCCTGGGAATCCAGAATTCCTATAGACTTGGAATGGTGAATCAAAAGTGAGTGTGGGATTGCCAGAACAGATCTCCTTGTTCTCCAAATCTTGATTCCCAGGAGTCTTTTCATAAGAGAAAGCTCTGATCTGTGCTCTGATGGAAGCAAGATGAGGAGGCACTCATGTGGACAAAGGTGATGGGGAAACCAAGTGTATGGGGCTTCATCAGCCAATCAATGGTTTCTATTGAGCAGGCCTGATGCAAGATACTATGGAAGTGGAAAGGAAATATATTAGAGGTGATCCTTTCTTTCAAAGATTTTATTATCCGGTTGGAGATACAAAATATAAAAGTACATGAAAAACAGAAATACAAGTGATGTCACAGGATGGTGTTAAATGACAAAGAAGCTGAGACATAATCCGGGAATTCAGGTATAGCTGAAGTCCACATTTCCCTACAAATAAGGACAGGTTGGATATGGGTATTTGGAGAGTAGGAGAGTCTTGTGATTTGTAGAGGATGGACAAAGGAGGTTGTGAGGAAAGGTGAAAAAAGTCTTAAGTTAATCCTCTGTTCTGTCATTCTTTTCTTTTCTTCCGCTAGCCTTGAGAAGGAAAACTATGAAGTCTGGGCTAAGGTAGTGAGGCTCAATGAAGAATTGGAAAAAGAGAAGAAAAAGTTTGCAGCCTTGGAAATCAGCTTCCGCAATGTGGAGCGCTCCCGGGAAGATGTTGAGAAGAGGAACAAGGTCTTGGAAGAAGAAGTCAAGGAGTTTGTCAAATCGATGAAGGAGCCCAAGAGTGATGCTTGAGAATCCCAAGAGTGCTGCAGGGACAGCCTGGGAAAGGCCAAAAACACTACTGCCTTTCTCAGTACCTGAGGACTTGGGAAAAAATTACTTCCAAAGAGGGAGAAAACATTTTGGGGAAAATATCACAATGTGCAGTAAATAAATCAATATAATTTTCAGGAATATAAGGGTGAGCAAGGACATGTGTAGACATCTATGGCCATTCTTGCTGCATTCAAAGGTTGTGTTATTCCCCTGTGGTCTTGGACAAAGTGAAATGGAACTTTCCATCACTGGATGATATTTGAGGCAGGCCACATGTCAAGAGCCAGGCAACAGACCAACCCCAACCTGAGGCTGGGCTAAGACAGTCCCTCAGTTCTTTGTTCTCTGTATGGAACAACACTGAGTCAGATGGCCTCAGACCACCTCTGAGACACAGGGACAGAAAATGATATTTAACTTTCGAGTGTTCACTCACGGTGTGATCTGTTTGGGGACTGCACCTGCTAATGCCAGAGTCTAATTCACCCCCCTCACCATGATGCACACACTCCAGGGATTGGACACTCAACATTGTTACTAGACTAAGAAGAAACAAGGAACAAAATTGTATTTATGAAGGCAAAAGTCAATGGGAAAATTATATTCAAATAAAGCAAAATAAATTGCACGACCACTGCTAAACATGTAGCACCTTTGTGAGAATTTTAAAAAGGCATGCCCTTCGTTGAGGAGATGCAGCCCTGCCAGGGCACAGGCTGGATTTCAGCCTTCTTCCCCACCATTCAGTGTCCAGGCCAGGCACAAGTGTATATGGAGGACCTGGGAGCAAAGACCCTCACCATGATATATCCTTGTAGAAACCAGTTGGGAATTGTTGTTGCTGTTGTGTGCCTTCGGGTCAGACCCGACTCATAGTGACCCCTCCTTGGGTTTTCGAGGCAGTATCACTATGGAAGTAGATTGCCCAACCTTCCTTCTGAGAAGTGGCTGGTGGGTTTGAACCACCAGCCTTCTGGTTAGCAGTCAAGTGCCTTAGGCACTACGCTATTAGGTAGTAGCAATTATAATTTTTTTTTCCCATTTTACCAAAATGTAAATAATTTCACCCTTCAAAGGGAGGTCATGCACTGGCGAAGAGCTGGGAGTGGGGCTTAGCTTTCCCAGCAAACAACTGACTAGTCTCCTACATTAAGCCATCTTTACAGAGGCCTTGGGTTGGGCCTTGCCAGGTAGTTTAGTTGAATCTTTTATGGTTTTTATTATTGTTTTAGTTAGGCGGTCTCCAAGATCTTTTGATTTGTGTTCCCTCCTGAAATGTTTGAGCATACACTCCTGAATATTATTTATTTATTTATAAATTATATTCACATAGTATGGGATTAATACATTATCTGTGTTGTGAAACGTACACAACACAGAAATTGAATAATGCTGACATAAAAACAAATATAAACAGATGTTCTAAAACTTCCTTTCAGCCCTGGAGACCACTGGTCTGGTTGCCCTGGACCTGTTCTGCATATTTCATCCAATTGCTCCCATAAATTTGCTTGAACTCTTGAAGCCATGTGGCTTACTTAATGGTTTGAAATCTAGGGTTGCCATAGTGAGAGCTTTGCCTTACCCAGCATATGTGCTTCCTCCATTATCCCTTTACTTCTTTGTTTTATTTTCTCACTTTTTCTTCTCCTCTCTTTGTTTTGTCCACTTAGGAGACTTATTCCTCCTCTGCCTGTGGCCATGATTTATTACCTACTGAGAGTTACAGAGGTAAAAATAGAAGAATCTGTGTTTCTTAGCACTGTTACTCAGGCCTTGTTCCACCCCTCCACAGCCCTCTGAAGGCCAGACTGATAGAGAGTGAGGACAATACTGACAGGATCCTCTAGGAGGCCTGCTTGCAGAAGAGTTGTGAAACTTATTTAATACATTATCATATTTTCGCAATTAACACACACATTACATGTTTTTTGCAAACCTCACAACCCTCTCATGCATTTGTTTCTTCTGTGCACTATGCATGTTACATGTATGTGTGTGTTTTTTATGTGAGTGCATTATATGCAAAAAACATGGTGTTAAGTAGAGCAATAAAATGTCTGCAGATCTGCCATGTTCTTCCATTTGTTCCTCACACTGACTCTTTGGGTGCTAAAACAGAGCTGAGTAGGAAAGTTCTGGCTTCACAATTCTAAATGGAAAGTGTGTTTTAAGGTGCAAAGGGAAAGCCTTGTAGTCTGTTTTGAGGTTCATGTTATAGGATCCTTCAAGATCTGGGAGGAGTTCAGGCTGAGTGGAAATGGCATGTTTGGATCACAGCTCACCTCTGGTCTGGCAATGCTTCTCAATCTACTCCTTCCACAGGCTACTATAACAGAGCAATTTCTCCAGCTTTGGAAGACCTGGACAGCCTAGAAGTGTCAATCATTCTTCACAACTGAGAGGTGGAATGCGGTGTGTTTGAATTGCCACCACTTGGTCTTGCTCCACCTTCCATGTAAGAACTGCTACTACAGAATAGGAAACAAGAGTTCTTGCAAGATCCTAGGTCTTCATGAGCTCAAAGGAGGGCCAGAGAAGAAGAACTGGGTGCCACTTTCCTCAGTATCTCAAAAGCCTGTGCATGACAGGTAACTCCCAGCCTCGCCTAGACCAGGGGGGTCAGTTTCTGGAAGGCAGTACCTAGAGACTGACCCCTGTCATCAGTGTTCTCTTGAACCCTGGAGCTTCCATCTGTACTTTCAAAGCCTTTCCATGGCTAGGACTCTACTAAATCTGCCTTTTTCCAGCCACTGTCCCCCTTCACCTTCTTCTATCCACTCAGATGCTGAGAACCTAAATGCATTTAAAAAGTCTGCAATATGCATTTAAAAACCCCTTACCCTTTTTCTTACCAGAGTTGTTCATCCCCTTCACAACCTCAAGCATGTCACATATCAGAGTAATTTCTCTTTACTTTGAGGCAGATTTGATGTTTGCTATACGTTTGTGCACCAGACAGGGAAGTATAAGAGATTTGCCTGGGAAGATTCACTTCCAGTGACTCTGGGTCAGAGTCTGAGACCTGAAGAGATCAAGTGTACAGCATTGATAGTGCAAAGCCTGCTACACAGTATCTAAACAATAAATAATTTTTTAAAATTGTTTTTACAAATTTCTTTAAGCTCTGCCCAGAGGCCTATCCCCTCAGAAAATCCCCAGGCTGCAGAGAGGTGGCGGATGGAGAACACAGTGACACACCAACCTTTGGCTGGTTTCCCCAGGCATGAGAGAGGAAGATGAGCATGCCTTGACGTCGTGTAAACTTCCACATTCCACCACTTCCTGTGCAGATATCAGCAATGGTCAGGCCACATGCTTCCCGGGGTTCAGAGAGAACACTTATGAGCTGTGCCTTCAGTTAAACTGGGTAGTGTTTACAAGAATCACACTGCAATGTTTCATCTTTCTGGAGAAGGCTGGGTGGAGGGAGGCTGCGAGGATGGAAACCCAGCTCCAGTAGAGAAACCCAGCTCCAGTAGAGAAACCCAGGTTGGCATTTGGCCAGCAGCTGAGGGAGCTCAGAAGGCTTTCTAGGGCATCTTCTGATAAGGAGTGAGCAGAGAATATCAGTACAATGGGGGATTGTAACCATTGTTTGAAAAGGATCTTAACTCATTGTCTTGGGGTCAATTCTGACTGTAGTGACCCTTTAGTTTCCAAGGCAGTTATGGAAGCAGGCAGCCACATCTACCTCCTGCAGAGTGACTGGTGGGTTTCAACCAGCGACCTTTCAGTTCGTAGCTGAGCTCTTACCACTGTGCCACCAGGGCTTTTTTGAAAACAATCTTAGAATCACAGAAGTGGAAGGAACTTTTCTTTGATCTCATCTAATTCAACCTGCTCATTTAGTGAATAGGAAAATTGAGGCTTGGGGTCATAGGCTTAATTGCCAGTGCTCACACTGTTATGAGGAAAGTTAATGTGGATGAGTTTTGAGGAATTCTCTAACCCACAACTCAGTGGTTCTTGACTTCTCTCCAAGGAATCTTTCTCCCAGACCAAAGCCTTGATGTAAAACACACTGAGTATCAGTTGCTGATCACCTCAAGAACTTGGAGCTGGGCTCAGCTATTGGCCACATGTGATGCTACTTTCGCCTTCCTTGTGTTACTGAGACTGTGATTCTCAGACTTGGTTGCATAATGGAATCACCTTTTGAGCTTTTAAAATATCCCTATGCTTAGATCCCACCCCATACCAATTGAATCACAGTATTTGGGGGTGAGGCCTAAGAATGATATATATTTTAAATACTTCCAAATTAATTCTAATATGTATCCAGGATTGCTAAATATGATTTTAAAACTTCTATGTTTGACTCAAGTTATGCCTAATGATAATATGAGACCTACCTGCTCCCTTTCCTATCTCCAGTCAACCCAACTACACTAACTAGTCTTTTCTCACATGCTGTTTTATCACATGTTCATTTATTGAAGGCAAGAGATGCACAAAACAAAACCAAACCCCTGTCATAGAGTTGATTCTGACTCATAGAGGTCCCCATTGGGTTTCCAAGGCTGTAAATCTTTACAGAAGTAGACTGCATCATCTTCATGGAAAATGGATTTATGTTATATACACATTTTGCAAATGGGGAATGCTGAGCCCAAAAATGTTACCAAAAAATGCTCAAACAATAGTAGCTTAGATTCAAAGATTTTGAGCCTTTCTTAAAATAAAGGGCTGCTCTCAACTTGTTTTTAGAGTTGAATCCATACCTAGGAAAAAAAGGTATGCACTTGAGGACCTGATTTAAAGCGTCCTTGATTTAAAGGGAATGGCTCTGATTAGAACCATTTCCCCATTAGACCCATATTAGACCAAGAAATCCTTGCCAATAGCATTTGGGATGTTAACCCCAAATGTGATAGCATTGGGAGACAACCATGAAGCCTCCATTGGTCATTAAAACCATCTTTATGTTAGTTATCTGATTCCAGTGGAGAGCTGTGTAAAGAATGAATGAAAAT